GCTTAAGTGTTCTTAAGAGTCACTAGGAAAGAGTCTTTGTAAATTTAAACTTAGATCTAAGTTTAAGTGAATTTGGTGATGAATGCAATGCAAACCTGCTTGGGCTGGGATTCATCAAAGAAATGGGAGGTGCTGCTGAGACAAGCAGAGGTCCAGCCATGGAGAAGGGAAATGAGCCAGAGTGCTGAGCACTGGCAGAAATCAGTTCTTACACCCAGGGAGCAGCTAAAATGGTCACATTACACTCCTGTCAGTGGCTTTTTGACCTCGGTCAAAATGTTTCTTATTCAACCACATCAGCAACAAAAGACAAAAGAGAAGCTGCTATAAGTGTTGCCAAAGCACAGGATACTAATAAATGCAGAATCCTAATAAATGCAGAATGACTAGGCAGCATTTTCTGGTCTCTAGGAAGTGGCAAATAACTTACAAATATTTGCAAAGGAAAATAATTGACCCTGAGATTGGCTCAGTTGGTCAGAGCATGGTGTTAATAATGCCAAGATTGTGGATTTGATCCAACCATGGGCCATTCACTTAAGATTGCGCCTTGGGAGTTCAACTCCGAACATTCTGAGTTCTGTGAATCGGTTCAGAAGTTCCTTTTCAGTCACCTACCAGAACAATACTTCAAGAAGGCAAAGGACAGGCTGCTCTCTGGAAACGTAAAACTTTCTAAAGTTATCGAGACAGCAGGCACGGAGCTGGGAGTGAAGGAACACGCAGAATTCCAGAGTCTCTGGTGGAGGGCAGCGCTCTGAAGCTCCGAGGATGTTTTTGCAAAGCAGCAAACAGGGTGAGGTAATTGTTGCTTCCTGATGCAGGATCTGAGGAGTGGAAGCTGCTGGCTCTGACACCTCAGCTCAGCTCTCCCAGCGCCTCCTTTTCCCTCTGCACAGCTCTCCTGGGGAACCTGCAGGCACCAAAACCCCGTTATACAGCTCCTAAGGAGCTTGGATGCAGAACTGCTCACAGCTCCTCCCTCACACATTGCTGACGGATTTTCCCAAACTTAGGAAGACCCGGTCAGAAATAACTCACAGCCAGCTGAAGGCTCAGTGTTTGTTGTTAAATGAGCCATCTTTCTCTCCTGTCACTCCAGATCCACCAGGCTCTAAATGTGGGTGGTGCTGAAGTAAATCCTGAAGGAATTTACGTGCCAGTAAGTAGGAGCTTTCAGTCTGTGCCACGCTCAGGGATAGCTACAGTTTTACAGACATCAGAAAGAGCTCTGGCACATTTTTAAGCTTTCAGAGTGGAATTCTGCAGGATCTTCACCCAGCTGTTAAATAGCCTGTTGGGAAGAACACTTCTGAAGGCACTAAAAGGCTCCCTGGACATTTGATTTTTGCTGCTATACACTGCAGCATCCAGGAGATAAGGGAAGGATTCCTGGGGATTAAACAGCACACGTCTACGTGAAGGAACTCACGAGGGTGAGGGCTGTTACACAAGCAATGGCAGAAGGAAATGATCACAGGAGCACAGCTCTGCTTTCCCTGGCCTCAATGATTTATGTCAAGTGCCTTGGTTAGAGCTGTCAGTGCTCAGAACACCACAGGATTTTAGTTATTTTTGATTGTAGGCTCTCAAGCATCTTTCTTTAAAATCTAAATCAGGACACCAGGAGAGACAGCATTCTCAAAATGTGAGTTTGAAAAGCAGGAAGGACAAACAGAATGTATCCAGGCAATTCTGGCACGGGCTGTGGGGGTGAGGCTGTGTTTGCTCCCACATGCCTCTGTTGCTATTCCTTGTGGGCTGGGCTAAAAGCAGACCTCAAACAATGGCATTTCATAATGTGTGCACAGAGGTTGGTGCTGTCTCCAAAGTGCTCAAAGCCACCACAGGAAGGACAGCAAGGCACAGTCCTGCTGTGTGTGACAGCACCATCCCAGGATTTGCCTGCTCATGTCCAACAAGCAGGGAGATGGAAAGGTTTGCAAGAAAACACACGGCCGTCACTTCAATGATTTTTTTTCTAGAGGCTGGAGATTTTGGCAAGAAAATGAAAATCATCAGCCAAGAACTGGAAACCTCCCAGAACTGTAACCCTTATAGTTGAAGTTATAACTGTGCTTTAGAACTGCCCATATAAAGCCAGGATATTTAGTGATCTTTATTATAGCCACTAAAAAGTCATGCTTTTAAACATTTATCTTTAATGCCTGACAGATCTAGCTATTTAAAAGCTGAGATGAAGCATCTGGATTGATCACAGAAAGTTCATTCATAGGATTTCTGTTGGGCAGGAGCTCACAGCACCAACCAGAGACAGATGAATTCAGAAAACCTGCACAGACACTCAGCTCCAGCATGAAAGCAAAATCTCAGCTGTAAATGAAAAGTCAAATAATTCCAAAATGTACACCTGAAGTCTCTAATTCCCACAGGGAGTAAGGCAAATCTCAAATCATTCTGAGTTCCCTGAACTCTGACAGCTTAGGTAAAATAGTACAAAAATAAAAACCACAGTTCATTTTGGTTAAAAACCACAAGTCCTACACTTTGAAAATAAAGTGTAGCTGTGAGTATAACTACACTCAGGGCAATGTACACACACAGCTGTTTGATCTGCTCCAAGGAAGTCTCTAAAAGAGACGAGTTAAAGGTCTGTGAATGACAAGTTAATAATTCCTCAGAGTTATTTTCTGATCAGTCAGGAATTATTCAAGCCCAAGATTTGCTCAGCACCAGAAGCAGGTGGGTTTTCCTGCAGCTCCATGTTTCCATAACAATACAGCAGAGCCAATTAAAAGCCAATTAGTCATGGGCATTACTTTGAGGTCCAGTACTTTGCAAACTCTCCCCTCTGCAGTGCTGCTGCCCATTATGCTGGGGACAAAGGCTCTGGGATGAATGGGGGCTGTTTCCCTGTCTCCATGGAAGCCTTGCCACGCTCACCCCACACAAACCTTCCCAGGCACCTCCAGCGCTGCTTCCCCCTCTGATCTTTGCCCCAAACAAATGTGCTGTTTATTCACTCTGCTTCTCATTTATGGAGACCCATTTGATGCTGTATGAATAGCAATGAGGAAAGAATTAAACCTGTGTTTGAGAAGCAGTGAAGATTCCTGCTTCCAGCTCCTCCTTGAATCCCCTTCACCCACACCTGCTGGAAGAGATTTCCATGATACTTGAAAATTCTCCAAGTTTTACATTAAAATCTGCAATAATCACTGCAAATCACTGCAATAAATATGCACTGAAATATCAGCATCTGTGTTATGTGAGCTAACTCTAGAATTTGAAACCCAAGCAATCTAAATTATACTGCAGCTCAAAACTGAAAACAGTCTGCTTGGACACCAACTATGGTGCTCAAGAAATTGTAAAGAATTCCTGCAGAGTACCAGAAAATCAGCACATTGCAGGAAAGTAAAATGCAGTATCCCTGTGAAGGGAATATCCCCCAGCTGCTGTCCAGAACTCTGAAGCTCTGTGATGCTTCTCAGAGCCCCCACTCTGAATATCCAGGCTTTACAGTGCATTTTATTTGTGCACCACTCCAGAATTATTTTTTCCAGAACCGATGACTGTCCAGGCTCCTTTCTGGGGATTGCTGTTTCCCTTGGCTTTACGGGAAATCCAGTTTGTTGCTGAGCTGAGTAACACCATGAATTGCAAATGAAGTCATTAGTTTTTAATGCAGTCAGCTCTGCTCAAGGGGGTAAAGCAAGTGCTGGCTTCTCAGCAAGGTTGAGCTCAGCTTCTTCCCTACAGCTGTTTACAAATAGCGACTTCTGTGGTTAAATTCATGATCTTGTTTACTCCTTGCAGTTTCACAGGCAATAAGGGAGCTCCCATTGCTGTGGCTCCTCAGGAGCAGCTGAGTTAAACAAAAGCTCTGCAATTCTGGTGGCCAGCGTGGCCTCAGCTGCTCTGTCCCTGCAGCCAAAGTCCCCTCCCAGCTGCAGCTGGATCTGCTGGCAGGAAGCACAAGATTTGTACAGAAAGCTCACGTTAGGCAGCTTGTGTCAGCAGGACCCACCTGCTGAGTGGTTTAGCTCTCATTTTTGCTATTAATGTGTTAAATAAAGGAAATATTCAATATTCACCAGACCAAAACTAACCTACAGAAGAATTTGGAGGGAATTTGAGGACTCCTATTCCTCAGATACCTTATTTGATCTGTGTCCCATCCCTTGGAAGCCATTCCTTTAAAACACATAAGTGTGATGTCCTCTCAGACAAAGACAATGCCAAAGGAGGTGTCAGCAATGCTGACACCCATTCTGAGATGCTGCTCACCTGCTCACCTGCAAGTCCCTGATTTCCAGGTGTGCCACCATGCCTGGATCATTCTTTTTGACTGCTCAGGCTCTGACTCTGCTTCATCCCAGCGCTCACAAGACATGGATCCAGATCCCTGGCGTGTCAGAGCCCACGGGACTGGGTGCAGGTACCTGTGGCCACAGTGACTACTCCATAGATGTTTCTAGAGGTCTTTGACCTGACCTAAACGTTACAGGCACTGTTCAGCTCTTCTTATCACAGGACAGCTGAAATCCACCTCCTTTGGTTGTCAGGGAAGTCACCTCAGGCAGCCCTTGGAGTCAATGGCCCCGTTCTTCAGCCAGTCCCAGCAGCTGCATCCCACCAAAGCCATCCTGGTGTTCCAAATTTCCTGCACACCAACCTCACTCTGGTGTGGAAGAGGTTGTACAGCGACCTCTGTGAGCCATCGAGAAGTCTGATAAGAGGATCCATGTTTACCCCTGAAGGAATTTTCTACCAAGAATTTTCTACCCAGGTTTCTATTGACATAGAAACCAAGAAAGAAAGAAGGATAAATAAGAGAAACCTGCAGCTGCCTATTCCAATGAGCCTGTTGCTTGTCTCTCGTGAGTAATGAGTAAAGTGCAAACTTAAGAGCTTTGTAAGAATGTAGAAAAAGCATGCATGCTAGAATAAAAACAGGGTTTGAAGCCTTCTGGAAATGCAGTGTGTTGCTTTGTAGTGTCTCGGTCTCATCTACAACACTCTGGCCTCTTTTGCAGGTGGGAAGTGGAGCGATGCCAGCTTGCCCAGCAGAGCAGCCCCCAGCAGCAGCAGCAGGAGGGAGCAGCCGTGCCCGGGGGCACCCGCGGAGCGCCCGTGGCACCGCCGGGCACCGCCAACCACGGTACCGACCCAGCCCCACACACCCCTGGCCTCTCTCATCTCTAGTGCCAGCAGCAGCAAAACTACCAGAGAGGTTAAACCACTGTACCACAAACCAGTCCTTGAGAGTCCTGAAACCCCAGACCTACCCAAAGCCTTATAGCCCAGATTTCCACTCCTCACTCCCCATATAATTCTGTGTTTAATGAAAGACTGAACTTATCACTTAGAGCTATGATCTAAAACTGCTTTTTTCCACATGAGTCATCCCACCAAAACTTATTTTCCTGGCTTAAAAAGTATAAAGATTTCATTTCTTTGTAAATAAAAATGCAGAACCTCAGCAAAAATAATTTCCAAGGAAACAATTTGCAGTTAATATTTTGCACAGCCACGGTCCTTGGAAACATCCTGGCTGCTCCAGTGACTCTGGACAAGCCCAAACTGTTTAGCACATGTAGCACCAACAGCTGCCATAACACTGCATGCTTTGGCTTCCCTGCAGTGGTTTATTTTTTTGGGCACATCCAGTTCAAAGACCACAAAAGCACTTATCTGACAATAATTCTGAGTTACAAGGCACCTTTACTGCAGACTGGAGAGCTGTTCATTGTGACAAAAAATTGGATTTTAGGTGTGTGTTGAATCGAGCTGGCATGCAGCTGCTTGGGAATGTTAAAAATAGTGACAAATAAATACAATTAACATTGTAGCATGTTCTTCACCCAGTTAGACTTAGAAAGCAAACCTGCTTTTACAAATGTTTTTATCAAATCACACACTTTGCCAGCTCAGAGTTTCCACATAAAATTACACAATTTCAAGAACAAACAGCTTTTTAGCAAAATGTTTTCATACAAATAAATCATGGGGTCATAGATTCTAAAACAGGGGAAAATGTTCCATCAAGTAAAATAGGACTAGTTAGGCAGAAAAACTAACTCAGAAAGACGAACAAGTAAAAAAACTGTGTTCTTGAACAGTAACTGCCCCCCACAACAACTGATCCTTCACACTTATCCTTACCTTAAGGAAAGAAGAGAGTTGAGGTAAACAGCTCCAAGTTACCCACAAGAGAGCACTGAAATGTTCAAGACTCTCAAAATAAGGATCATGGCTGCAGCTGCCTGTCGTGGTTTTGTATCGCTTCTGCGAACGCCTCCTGTGCAAAACCCATTGCCCCAGCCCCTTCCCGGGGCGCTGGGCACCTGCCCGGGTTTCTCTGGGGGTTTGGGCTCTCACTTCGTTCTGGCTCAGACTGGGGGTGCAGCTGGGCTTGTTGGGGTGCTGCTGAGGGCTCCCTGTCTCCCAGCAGAGGAGCAGCTCTTACGCTCCGTGGAGGGCCAGGCTGCCTCGGACGAGGAGGAGGAGAAGTGGCCAGGGGACCGGGCTCCCCAGCTGAAGAAGATCCTGGCCAAGCTCCCTTGCTGTGGCAGTGGGTAAGTTTAATTTGTTAATTAATGCCATTTGAGCCCTTTGCATAGATCATTTCACAACCTGTGGCTGCAGTCAGAAGCCTTTTGCCCATCCTGTGTGGCACGTGGGGAGCAGCCTGCTGGGGATTCCCACCGAGCCCTAATTAGTGTCAGACACTCACTTGTGACCCGTGCTGCCAAGAATTCCACAGGAAAACTGGATTTAACAAACACAGACCTCTATTGTGAGGTCTTACTAACTCTTTTCTCTTAATGATGTGTGTAGATGTGATGAAAAGACCTGGAGAAAGCTGCTGTCCTACCTGGAGACCAGCAGCACTGATGGGAAGGACCCTGTGGAGCCCTCGGGGAGAATCTCCCCCCTCACAGAGCAGCCAGAACTCAAGGACCACCAAGAGAGAAAACTGGAAGCAAGCATGGAAGAGGTAACAGGTGCCAAGCAGAGTGTGAAGGAGTTGTTTATGCATCTTTGGGGAGCTGCATCTGTGTGTGTTTGTATTTTATTTTGGCTATTCTGCTCTCTGTTGCTGATGCTTCTCGTTGTGCTGTAGTTTGTCAGCTCAGACATCTCCTGCTTTCCTCCAACACCTGCATTTCTACTCTGGCTCCTACCCAAAACTGCCTTTGGAAGATGAGAGCTACCCCAGGCCCTTCAAATACTGTCCTTGATTTACTGAGGTTCTCCAGCTGTGGATGAAGCACTCCCATATCCTAAGGCATCCAACACCTCTGGGAGCAGAATAACTTTCCAATAAATCCCTCAGGCTGGCTGAGACTCCCTGTTTTGCAGTAAATTATCCCATTTACTCTGTCTTTTTCTTGGGCTTAGACAGAGCTATTTATATAATACATTATATCAATCTAATATATCAATAATATAATAAAATATGAATAAAATTAGTTCTCAGGTTAGCAGCATGTCCAACTACCCTTGAGCAGAGGTTATAACCACATTATTTAAAGCCCCAGTGCTGTATCCCAGCAGTCCTTGTGAGCTCACTATTTAAATTCTGCAGAGTTCAGCCCCTGATGGGCACAGAAGTGCCAGCAATCTTTCTATGAAACAAAAATAGTGCATTGCCCTGGTCTGCTTTCTCCTGTGCTTGTTCAGTATTTTATACCCCATCTTTAAACAAAGCAGAAGGCTTTCAGTAGTTCTGGAAGGATTATGTGAATCAGTGAAATATTTAAAGTGAGGGTATTCAGCTTCTTCACATGTTGCCATCCTTTGTGTTTTAACAGTGTTTCATATCATTTTCTCCCTTGAGCAAATTAAATGAAAGACTTTTCTTGTAGGCAAAAAAAAAAAAAAAAAAAAAACAGAATAAAATCCTGTTTCTGCCTTACACAATTTGCAGCATTCAATGGCAATTTATCCTTGCAATATTCTTTAGAGAAATATGAAAGTTCCTTCTCTACTGCTTAGCATCAGTCCACAGGGGAAAAAAATACCTGCAGGTAGTGCCAGTTTTCTTCTCCTTTGTTCCCCAGTCTGAGGTGCTCATCTTCTGCAGCATCATACTGCCCTCTTTTTCATCTCTGCTGATGGATATTAGTTCTGTGCAGCTTGTCTGGAAAAGCACCATTATCAACAGATTAATACAAAATTCCAGAAGAAAAATGGAATCTGTTGCTCTTGATTTAGAGGCAAGCAGGGAGGTGAAGAAGACATAGTGCCAACTCACTGTGACATGAATTAAATAGCAGTAGGATGAATCATGTTGAGCCTGTTAGGAGATTTATTCTTAAGCCCTTTTATATTAGCCAGCAGTTATAGGGGAGGAATTTGCTGCTACAAAACAGACAAGTAGTAAAAAATTCCTGTCAAAAAGGTGACTCTCCTTGTAATCAACAGAAGGCAAATAGGAAGACTGAGAAATGCTCTCTCTCGAGCACCTTGCAAATAAATATATTGGCTTAATAAATAAACCACCAAGACTTCCTCTGAGGCTGACAAAAGTGCCTTACACATGGCTGTATATGCTTTTGTTTGTACCTGCTCAGTGTGGAAAATCAGACAAATAACAAGACTAACAAGCAAGAGCCTCAGCATGCAAGTGAAGGGCAGCGCTCTCAAATACTGATTAATAATTGCTCCAGCCCGAGGCTTGTAAAACCAGAGTTTGAGAGAGTTCTGAGATTTGTCATGTCTAGAAAGTTCTACTTTCCAACAGGCAAACACTTATAAATAGCTCCTCCTGAAGACAGGGTGGTGACCTGGGGGTGGTAGATGGGGAGAACATGAGTGAAGTCTAAAAATAAAGTGTTATGCTACTGAGTGTAATGTTACAAAGAAATGCCAATTATTTTCTATATGAGCTTGCATGCAAGCTGCCAGCTTAATTAAAAAGGCAATTAGTTTATGAACAGCCATGCAGGGTCAAAAGAGAAGTTAATCCCAACATCTGGGGAAAAGCAAGGAGAAACAGTGGAGAGGTTGTTGCTCTTGGTGTTCCTCACCTGGTTCCCACTGCACCAGGGACAGAGAGATCTTCCTGTCTCACTGAATGTACAGATGATTGCTAGGTAGGAGCTGCAAGACAGAGATGATTGTGCTGAGGGCACACAAATTAGTTTTGCTCTATAGAGGACAACAAGAATGCAAAAGGGGAGAAGGCTGACGTAGCAATGCTAGTATTTAAGTATAAAATGTATAATAAATGTAATATTTAAAATTCCTGAATGAGCTGCTTGCACCCAGTGATGAATGAACTTCCATTGTGCACAAGTGCAAAGCTCTGATTTCCTAACAACCCCTGATATCTCTTTATGTAGCACATTAATGAAATGAACTTCCCTTCAAGGGAATCTTCTGGAGTGAGCCCCATTTACCGCAGAAGGGGGAAAACTCAGCTTTGCAATCCTTGGGCAAGAAAGGAAAAGCTCCAGTGCCTTCATTTTGCTGTGTTTTGTGCAGATGAAAGGCCCCTGGCTCGGGGAGCTGCAGCAGAAGGTGGAGGAGACTGAAGTGCTGAAGATGGAGCTGCAGATGCTGGAGACAGAGAGGGTTCGGCTGTCCCTGGTGGAAGAGAAGCTCCTGGATGTTCTGCAGCTTCTCCAACAACTCCGAGACTTGGTATGGTGAGAAAGCAGTCCTGGGACTGAAAACTGGGGTTTGTAGTCCCTTGCAAACTGAGAATATGTTCATCTCTTCTGGGAAGCACAAAATCCTTTACAGCAGGAGAGGATTTTACAGGAGTGTGCCCTGGGAACTGCCTGGTGATTGCAGAAAGCTTTCAGACCACTTTGCCTGGCTTTCTAAAAGCCTAGAGGTCTCCTTGGAGCTGCATCTTCAAGCTCATTGCCCTCTAAACCAAAATTGAGGGCAAATGAGGAAAACAGAAGAGTGAGCAATCAGGAAGATTCCAGAACATGTATTTTTCCTTCCAGAACAGGACCTTTGTTTAACTGCATGCTAATGTAACTCTGAGTCAGCATTAAAGAGATAAAACTGCCAGGGGAGTTTAACAAGAATCCCCTAAATCCCTGATGGCATATACCCAAGACAAAAGAGACCTTACCCATCAGAACCTGTGGGTTTAGGTGTCACTTGTCCAACACATTCACCTTCATGTCTGAAATATCTCATTGCCAACAGAACCTTCCACCGAGCAGTGACTGCCCAAAGGCACACACCCATCCTGTCAGGACTAATCAAACCTCACACAGTGCTGCTGAGGCCATGTGAAATCCTCACACTGCTTCCCACTCTGCCCCAGTCCCCAGGGGCAGCCAAGCAGATGGAGGAGGCTCCAGGCAGGGAGCAGGGCCAGCTCTGCCTGGAGGTAACAGCATCTTCCCCCAGAATTGCTCCCTTCCACTCCCACTTCTTGAAGAAGTTATAGCAAGAACAACCACCTGTCCCTGCAGATACTCAGGGCTCTCTAAGTGCTAATTAAACTGATTGCAAGGCCATCTCCCAGAAAGCACACCAGTGTCTTGACAGCAAATGAGGACAGTTTGCTTTCCCAGGCACAATTATGTAATGTCCCACCAGATTTCATATGTAAAACCACCACTGAGAGAGACCATCCAAATCCTGAGTAGTTTTTACAGTGTTCTCACTTTCACTAATGTTTATTACATCTCACATCCATTCCTGCCACAGGACATTTGCTCTGTCCTTCAGCTGAGAAGACCCTTCCTAAAGTAACACCACCCAGGTCCAGTTCACCTTCCACAGACCTGGCAGAGGACAAAGAGCTTTTGCTCTGCTTACCCTCCTTGCCACCTACAGTTGTTTAGGCACAAGCTCTAGAAAATTCTGTATTTCCTGCTGAATAATTGTTATTTCTCTTTCCACTGCCATATTAAGGAATTACAACCCCCTACAAACTGTCTGAGCAGGGTCTAAAATCAAATGCAAATATCGTCTTGTGTTAATCAGGATTCAGTGTCATTTTGGTTTAGTTTCCAAATGTAAATGGTTTAGTTTCCAAATGCACACAGGTTCTGTTGCATATCTGTAAACTGGTGAAGGACATATTTGTGCCATAATTTTGTTTTGTTTTTTAAAGAACATATCGAAGCGAGCCCTGGGGAAAATCCTGCTGAGCACTTTGGAATCCTGCCATGACCCCCAGCCTGGTAAGAAAAGAAATCACATCTAAGACCAAGAAGCATGAAAAGTGTCGTTCTGGGACAAACACTGGGTAGGAAAAGGATATTTCAAATCCTGGGGTACAGGCTGGGGAGAAGGAAGTAGTTTGCAAGAAGAATACCTTTAGAAAGTGATGCTTTCTAATCTGGGATGCATCAAAACCACACCCAGGGTGCTTTTTTAGTCAAATTTAATTAAAATTTGGCCTTTGGGGAATAATCCAGTATCCTACAAATGCTTTTAGGGTTTCATTGATAGGAGAAAGTGGAGAAATGACCAAGTACGTAAAGCAGCTGTTTCTCAGGTGTGTTGTGTTCCTCTCTGCAACACAAGATTTACCCACCAGAACAGTTCTCTGCAGAAAGCAGCTCAAGCCTGCACTCCTCTAATAACAGCATTTCATGATCCTGGTGTGAAAATTAAACTTGAAAGCTCCTGTCCCTTGCCCATGGTCCGGAGCTGTCTTTGCAGGAGCCGTGCAGGGATCACGGCCTCAGGGCTTTGCTTTGATTACTTTGTTCCTATTAGCAGAGCATTTGTGCTTCCCTCCAAGGAATGAACATCCTGTCCCAGGAACATGGCTCCGAGGGGCTTTAACAGGCAGGCAGCAGTCAAAGACTACATTAGAAAAGACCAGATGTGGCCTGAGGGCTCAGTTTGGAGAGTATTATTTACAGGGATTTAGGGAGAACAGCATGGGAACCCTTTGGGGTTTGCAGTTTCAAAGGCTGTTTTTCCTTGTGCCCTGCAACCCAGGGCACAGGCAGCCCAGAGCCAAGCTGTGCTCTTCAGCTGCAGAGGAAGCAGAGAAAAGAGGGCAAAACCAGACTTTTGTAGGCTCCAGGAGACACCAGTACAGAGAGAAACCACAGCTGAGCCATGGGTTTGATGTTCTCCTGGGAGAACAGATGAGACTTTTTGGATCCACAGCACAGTGTCCAGAAGGTGCTGCCAATTATCCTGCACAGGGACAGGGACTCCAAGGTGTGGGAATTGAAGTGACAATAATACCAAGGGATGCTGCTCAAAGCTCCTCCCTTTGTAAGAGCAGCACAGCTCAGCTCCCCAAAACTCCAGCAAGTGCTGCTCTCTGTGCATTCTGCATCACCAGTGCCATACACAGCTCATCTTCTCTGCTTCCCACTGTCTGCCTGTGCACCTGGGGAGGCTTCAGCAGCTTTCCCAGTCTTTGTAATCAAACATTTCTCTCTGACAAGCCAAAGTGGGTTGGGTTGGCAATGGCGATATAAAATAATCTGTTCACACAAGTACATGAGAGCTCAGTGGGCAGGGGATGAAGCAAGAGGAAACCAGAGAAGACAGTTGAACCCTCAAGAGATTTGCTCATAGTTCTTTGGACAGGAATTCATTTTATTTGGTCACAAAATTCAGATATTTTATGATAACCACTTGAAAGGCCACCTATGAAGAAAAGAGCCTGTTACAATTGTGAAACAGCAACTTCCTGACTTTGTTCAAATGCTCATGTTTGCAATTTGCTTTCCCAAGGCAAAGCCCAGCTGTTGGAAGTGCTGGACACCCTTCAGCAGGAGCTGGCAGCCTGTGAACTCCTGCACAAGCAGCCCACGGAGCAGGCACAGAGCCCACGGTCCCTGTCCAACCCCCTGGTGATCTCCTGCTGAGCCCAGCCAGCCCCAGGACAGCTGCAAGGAGCAATCAGGGACATTTGTCCAGCTCAGCCACGCCTGGACTGGCCAGGAGCGAGGAGTGACCCCAGAGAGGAGCAGCAGCCCTGGGCTGGGCACAGCCTGCCTTACCTGGACTGCAAAGGCCAGCCCTGGGGTGCCCCTGGGTCTGGGCTGGCACCAAACTGTGCCCACCACCCTCACCTGACCCACAGGGATTTACAGCTCTGCAAAACTGGGACTGGGCTGGCACCAAACTGTGCCTCACCTGACCCACACTGATTTACAGCCCTGGAAAACTGGGACTGGGCTGGCACCAAACCAAACTGTGCCCACCACCCTCACCTGACCCACAGGGATTTACAGCCCTGCAAAACTGGGACTTGGCTGGCACCAAACCAAACTGTGCCCACCACCCTCACCTGACCCACAGGGATTTACAGCTCTGCAAAACTGGGACTGGGCTGGCACCAAACCAAACTGTGCCCACCACCCTCACCTGACCCACAGGGATTTACAGCCCTGGCTGTGCAGGTGCTGGGCACAGTTTGCAGCCTTTGTGGAAGCCCCACTCCAAAGCCAAGGCCGCCTGTGTTATCCCTGGATTTGTTGTCCCATATCCTAGAGGTGACAAACGGAATGATAAACACACCCAGGAGTGTGTGCCAGCAGTGCAGGTTTTAAGGGCTCTGTGTTTCTCACTCAATTACTCACCTTATTTAACTCTGAAGCTAGATTTTTTATTGCTCTGCTGAATTTTATATTTGCAATTATAGAGATGCCTTAGGAATATGCAGCAGCCTTTCCTGACAACAGTCAGATTTTACATAAGAAGTTAAATTTAAGTGCTTGAAGAAGGTCCAAAGCAATCTTGTTCCCAGGCTCTCAGGGAAAGGAAGGGCTGAAAAATTCATTTTGCTGTCATTCTGTGTTAGCAAACAACTCGTGCAGTGCACAAGTGAGTTCTGAAGTTTAATTTCCCTCAGTGCAGCTGCAGACACAAAATTAGGCCCCACATGGAGGCCAGTTAATGTAAAGAGCTGGGCCTAATTGTGGTGCCATGGAATGTATTAATCAGCAATAAAATAATTCCTGGGGCAAAAGTAAAAAAAAAAAAAAAAAAAAAAGGTTTATTCCAAGGTGCTTTTGCTGTGTCATTCACAGAGGCAGAATTCCTAAAAGAGCCAGTGAGTTTATGTTACTGAAAAGATGCACTGTGGATCTTTTAAGAATGTGACGTGATTTGCCTGAGATAATGCCAGTGATGAAACAAGATCATTCAACTGTACATGTATGAATTTTTCCCAGGAAAAGGTTTCATACAGGAATAAGGTCCACAATGCAAGCTGGGGAATAAGATTTCCATTCCTTTCCATTCCTTTCCACACTCACACACCTCCATGGAAAATGGTGACACCTTTGAGCCACATTGGGAACAAAAAATTTGTATTATTTTAATTGCATTTTAAAGGAGAGAGGAAAAAAAGGTGTTATGCAAGCAATGAAACAAACTCTGTTCAATGGTGTTTTACCTCGTTGGGTTTTTCTGTATTTTGGGGGTTTTTTGTGGTGTAGCAGATGAAGATTTTAAGAATAGATATATATTGTTAATGTACATTTTTCTTAAAGACACATTAGACAGGACATATGCACATAGAACAATATTCACACTCTAAAAAAGAAAACTGTCTCTTAATGCTAAATGTATTGCTAACAAAATACATAATATACTATTACTGAGTATATACTGAGGTACTTGCTGGGATTGTATCCTACAGAAACAGCCTCTACTTGTGCCACAGGTAAAAGTTTAAATGAGCAGAAATCAGATCCCTGCTTGGCTTAATTTGCTAAAAATCCCTAAAACCATCAGCTTTTGTTGTGTGCATCTCTCTGGCTTTCCCAGGAATATGGCAGAGGTGTAAAGAGGGAAAATGCCAGGAAATGATGAAATGAGCCTGATCTGTGTGTTCAGGAGCAGGATTCTAATGCAGGCACACACCTGGCTCTGGATCCTTGTTTACTGCAGGGCTCTTGCAGCATTTGGATTTGTCACCATCTGGACCCTTTCTCCTGTTCCCACATCCCCCAAACCTGGCAGTCTGTTTCTCACAGACTTTGCATTTCCTTAGATCCCCACAAACTCACTTTTAGTTTATTCATTTTCTATTAAACCTGCAAACTGGCCCTAAAAGGAAGCTTGGGTATTTTCTCCCCTGACCTCCACCATGAAGGTTTTGGTTTTTTCCCACAAATGATTTGACTTCATCCTCAACGTCCCTTCCCCTCCCAATGCCCTCCTCACTTCCCATTTGGCAAATTCCTCCCTGGGGTAACCTCTGAGGGGTTCACACTTCTAGCACAAATGGCATTTTTCAAGGAAAGTTTCCTCCTCCCATGACTTTTTTGCTTATAGGAGGCATTAACTATTAGTGAATTAAAGCCACCTGATCTGTAAAGTTGTTTAATAATTGTCCCATTTATTTTTGAAGCTCTCTCTGGAGTATTTGGCAGTGAGGACTCATCACAGATGTTACTCTGAGTCACAGAATTTTGCAGCAGATCAGAGTGGCCTTGTCCAGCCAGAGCTGCTCCAAGGGGTTCAGTGCATCTGTGCACACTTTGGGAGGAAAAACCCTGGAATCCAAACTCCTCCCTTCCATGATACTGTCCTTAATCTGTACATGGAGATGGAAGGAGCTGGGACTAGGAAGAAAGGAGCACTTTTAAAATAAAAATGGAGTAAAATGGAATTGCTCTGTGTGAGAGTGACACTGAACCTTCCCAGGGTGCCTGTGCCATGTGCCATTACCAGCCACAGGGCCTCTCTCAGATTTATGATTTCATGGAGTTTAAGACACCGAATCCTTTGGTATTTACACTGTCTGATTTTCTTAATAATTTTATGTATAATTCCCTGAAACACAAAAACTATAGAGTGTGTTTCCTAGTGTGAAATTAAATTAAAATCATCCTTATGTCCTTAATTACACTTTACTTTCAAAAGACTGGGGTTTTCAGAGGTCTTGGGTTTCTGTTCTGTTGTTTTGTCTCTTCTTTTTGCCTCAGCATGCCGAAATAGCTCAACTGTATTTTGCCTCCTCAACTTCTTTCAAATTACCTCGAGGGTGAAATCATCACAGCCCAAACCTGGACTGAGGTACCCACAGAAGAGCTCAGCTTAGCAGAACAAAACCTCCTTGTTTTATGCAGCTCACTCACTTCTTCACTTAAAAGAGGAGTCTGAATAACAGCAAACTTCCCTGAAATCAGACTTACTCCTTAAATGACATTATTTCCTAAAATGCTTGTATTTTTCTGAACTGTAACCATTTCAGACTCTGTCTGAAGAACTGCCTGCTCCTAGACTTGATCCCCCACATTTCCAGACTGTAGAACAAAAGAAGAGAAAGAAAGGGCTCAGAGGAACTCTAAAATTCCTAAACTGGCATTTTAGATCCAGTCACCAGCTGGACAGCAAATTCAGTTCATGGCCATTTTTACTCCTGCCAATACAACTGCATTTTTGTTTCATGAAACTCCTAAAGCCATAGCAGAGCGTCAGAATCAGGAGGAAAACATCTCCTTAAATTCCCACCTCTGCCAAAACCTGCAGCAAGAACACAGACAGCTGTTTGGGTTTCAGTTCAATAATAAATAAATAATAGGAAATTAGGAAATAAATAATAGGAAATGAACCAGAATTAACTCTGCATGAGGAGAAGGCTCTGGGGAGAGCTGAGAGCCCCTTAAAGGGGGCTCACAGGGAGGCTGGAGAGGGCTTTCCATGAAGGTTTGGGGTCAGAGGCAAGGGGGATGGCTTTAAGCTGAGAGTGGGGTTAGATGGGATCATGGGAGGAAATCCTTCCCTGTAAGGTGGTGGGGCACTGGAAAAGATTGTCCAGAGAGGTTATGGAATGTTCCAGGCTGGGCTTGGAGCAACCTGGTTTAGTGGAAGGAGCTCCTGCCATGGCAGGACCTGGAATGAGGAGAGCTTTAAGGTCCCTTCAACCCAAACCATCCTGTGACTCCATGAATATCCCACAAGTTGTCCTGTACTGCTCCTGTGAGCACTGCTCCTCCTCAGGGCGTGACTCCTCCTCAGCCTCACTGCTCCTACCCAGCCCCTACAGAGCTCCCTGTGTTCCCTGGGGTGCACAAACCAAATTACATTCTTAATTGCTGTTTTCTGATTCTGCCTCAAAGAGCTGTGAGGTAACTTATCTCTGTCAGGGAGTAAACAAGGACTGTGGGGTGACATTGAAAAATTATCAGTATTCAAGTGGTTTCACCCACGTGCACCCTGCAAAGCAGAAAGGTCATGAGAGCTGAGGGTTTGGGTATTAGAGCTTGAGATAATTTCTGTACTTCAAGGTTTTATTGTTTGATAGCCTTGGTTTTGCTGATTGCTTCTCATTGGTTTTTTTTCACAGTTACAAGTGGAAAAATGGTCTCTAACAAAGGGAAGGTCCAGTGTTTTGTGAGGAATTTTCTACCTCTTAAGATTGCCAAAAACAGATAAAGAAAAAAAAGAGAAAATATGTGGAGGCTGATACAATTTGACTTAAAATACCATTTAGATAAAAGATGTTATTTTGAAATAAAGAACATGCAATACCCATTCTGAGCTGATTGTGGGAGTTGAATCCCTGGCACAGGCAGTGCCAGCCCAGCACGCAGCAGGACGAGCTGCTTTCCTGCCAGGCTCTGCAGCTCCAGCAGCAGAGGGGACAGCAGAAGTCAGAGCAGGCTCTAATTGCTTATGAGCCAACATCTGCCATGCCCAGGGCTGACACACCATGACTCATCCACCAAGGACTGATGGGCCCCCAAAAACGTCCCCAGCTTTGCAGAGTCGTTTGAAAGTCGCTCACAGGTGGGCTCAGGTTTTTCAAAATCATTTCCTTCTGCCCTGCCATGGGCAGCACAGAGCACATCCCACTGCCATGGAGAGCATTCCCAGGTCACCTTCACATCCCAGAGCAGGGAAAGCAGCCCCTCAGCCAGCCCCTGCATGAGGATTGCAGCAACAGCTCCACATTTCTGTCACTGACGTGCCACAGACAAACCGGGACCCTCTCGAGGATTGCAGCAACAGCTCCACATTTCTGTCACTGACAGACAAACCCTCCCTGGCAGGGATGGGGAGGAGCAGCCCAGGCAGGCTCAGACTCTGCTCTTCCACCTGGAGTCACTCAGGAGGGAAGCACAGCCACTGCCTGCTCCTCTGCACCATTTGCCATGGAAATGCAACAGTTTGGAGTTAGTGCTCTCCAGTAAAAGTGTGGAGAACTTCAGCAGCTCTGGAGAGCAGCTACCAAGTGCAGCTGGAGCTGCCTTCACACATCTGACTGGAGCCACACAGAAATAAAACTGACAGAGCCACGTGTCATTTTTTTATTGCTGTCCTGGTGAGCAAAGGCAAAAAGTTTTCTTTTTTGCAACTCTACAGTCTGCTGTGTGCTTTTCCCCCAGCCAGGAATAAATAGTGCACCCAGCAACCCCTATTCCATCAAAGGAAATTGCTGCAAGTCACAGCAGACTGACCCCAGCCTGTACCATTATTTATGGACTGCACAAGTGATTCCCAATCTCCTGAGAGCTGGGCATGGCCAAGATAACAAACTATTGAAAAGGACAGGAGAGAGGAAAACAGCAGGGCTGAGACTCTAAAATAAATCATACTTGGCAATTCAGAAAAGGAAAGGAGATTCTACTGACAAGAACTGTACGAGGGAAAACTCTCCAGAATAAGTAGGAGAAATCTGCATCCCTGCATCACCAGAAACTCCACCTGTGACAAAACATCTCCTTCAGTTCATTTAAACTCTTCCACTTCCACTGAATCCTATTGTGTGATGGAAAAAAACCCCAAATGTCATGAGAATCTAACCTGGTTTATAATGCAGAGGCCTTTAAAACCTTGGTTTTCTTTATTCCTTTGCTCATTCAAGAAAACAGCAACTCCAAACTTGCCAATCTGCTCCTATTTTTTAAGCAAAAGGGAATCTAAAACTAAAAAGCAGAAAGGCTTTTCAAATCCTACAGGACATTTGACATTGCCTTATAATCAGAAGTAGGCTTAATGACAAAAATCAGCATATAGGTCCATAACTACTGGGACTAAAAGTGGAAAGAACTAATTCCAGCAATTTGGATGAAATCTCTGGAAATTCGTCCTTGCAGATTCACTTCACTCCTGCACAGATGAATAAACACCACAAATAGTTTTACAGCTGCATCTGCTGTTGAATGATAACATTTTGGAGACCTGGTCCTAACTCTTGCTGAAAATAAACAGTTGGAGATCTCTGAAGGACACTGGAATTGTAGCTTAGGCTATGGCTGACTCATAAATTGTCACACAAGCAAAGAGAAAATATAAATCACGTTTTTCTTTCTTTCTTCCCCATCACTCTCTGTCCAGCCACTGCCAAATAAAATTTTCCACACAAGTTACAGCAGGTTTGGACACAGAAATTCTGATTGGTCACTTCATGGCCCCACTATGACCATGTTACAGTGCAAGGGTGCCAAATAAACCCCAAGAAAAGGCTTGGAAGTATTTTACACAATTATGAGAAGAGAAATTACCTCGGTGCAGAGGGATTAATCCCTGCCCACCTCAAAGCAGTGAGGTTGTGAGTGCACAGTGTGTACATGGGCCAGGGGCTTTGGGGGCACCCCAGTCCAGGGCCAGCAGAAAGCCAGGACACCCTAAAAGTTTCCTCAACTTGTGTGAAAAAATACATGATTTGTTTGCAATTTAAAAAAAAAAAAAAAATCTGTCTTGAATAATAAGGAGGAAAAATTTTATTTCTGTTCAGAAAGTTTAAAGAAAAAAAAAATAAAAAACCAAATCAAGAAGGGGACAACAGAGGAGAAAATGATGTCACATTTCAACAGAGCTGATGCTAACAAGAATCCGGTCTGGCAGGTGAGTGTGCCCTTCCCAAAGTGTGAAATGAATCCTGCACGTGGCAACGATTGCTAAGCACATAGTTATGGAAACTGGGAGTTGGGAAAGGTGGGAGATCAATGAAATCAATGCAGCGCACGCTGGGGTGAGTGACCTTAAACAAGGGGATGGGTGGGGACAGCAGAGGGGGGCACCAGGGGACACGGTGGGAGCAGGACAGCACAGCCACACTGTCCCTTGGACCTGGCACCCCAAAAATCCAGCCTGGTTGTGAGGAATAAAATCCAGCCAAGAGTTATTTACCTGTGTCAGGCGGTAGCTATTTACCCACTAACACAGGTAAATTTTTTTGGGTGGTTTTTTTTTTCCTATTTTTGCTGTTTAAGCTATTTTTGTTGATTTGAGAGGAGAAACGGAGGCCAAGGAAAGCAGCAGCAGCAGCGCAGGGAAGAGCAGCACTGCTGGGTTTGCCGGGGCCTGGGCTGTGGCTGTGCCCCCAGACAGCGCAGGCCCGGCGGCAGAGGAGAGGAGGGGACGCGTCATTCCCTCCGCACAGCTGGAGCAGGGACAAACTCGGCAAGCAGAACAGGAATTTTCCTGCAGTGAAACACTTTGGCCAGATAAAAAGTGCCCTTCCTCGGGCTGAGCTTTGTTCGGTTGCTGTGAATTGCCGCAGGAGCTCTGCAGCCCGGGCAGCGCCCAGGGCTGGGGCCTAGCCGGGCGGGCAGCACCGACAGCGCTGAGGGGGACTCCGGCCTCCCTCCCATCCCAAATTCCCTGCCCCTGCCCTGCCCACCTCCCGGGCTCTCTTCACTCTTCCCCACTGGAGCTGCTCCACTCTGCACCAATAACTGCATTTTGTGGAATTAAACCCAGCGCTGCCAAACCCTGGATGAAACCCTGACCTGTGGGGCACCCACCTCCACTTTGCATGCACCAGCTTAAAGCTGCTTTGGAATAAAGAATAAATTATCTATATCAGATCAAACAACTCAAATCTGAAATAATCAGATGGTTAAAATGATCTTCCTGTTGTTTCAAATATTTTAGATACTTCTACCTGTCACTCACTTACTGCCAGTCTGGTTTAGATTTCCTCTTGCCTATGGTTTACATGGGGTGCTTCAGGGTTATAGCACAGTAAACATCCTTTAAAGTACCTATCCATAAAGAAATGCAATTTATTTAGACAGGTTTTTCCTTCTCATCAAGAACTCCATACCTACAGAATTAGAAAAAATGCTACAATCATTTAGAAATTCCTAATATTTAGTATTTCCCTTTTGCAACACAGTGCTTTAAATGCAGTCTCCCAGTAAGAACATTGACCTTCACCTCATTTAATAAATGCAAATCTCCAGCACTTCTGATCAAAGAAAGTTGAATACCGATTCTTATATACTAACATATAGTTTAAAAAAAAATAGCAGAGAAGCTGTAATTTAAAATCAACCTAAGGAACTTTCCACAGGGTTAATGAAAAATTCAAAATCTTTAGTTTGCCTTTCTAACCAAAGGAAACACAATCAGTGTTATATAGTTATATATACTTGTATATACAATTTTTTTTTCTATTATATTCTTACCCATAGAGAGTTTAAGCTGACCTTGAGTTGAAAGGGGGTTTAGGCAGAATTTCCTGCAAATTAGGGCTGGTAGGAATTTCTCATTTTAGACACAAAAGTTTTTCTTTCTGAAAATATTGTTCTGAATAATTTATGAGAGAGATGTCAGCCAATGCCAATACAAGCATCCCTATGCTGAAACATTTGAGAAATTATATTCTACAGCTCCAAAGCAGTAAAAGGGAGTAAAACATCCCCTCTTCTTTGCTACTTTGAAAATGGCTTTGGAAAAAAGTATCAACAATGTGGGTGTTCTTTAGGAATGTGGTTCTTAAAGACCTTGAACGAAAAGGAAAAGCCAAGTAGATAAACTCAGCCAGGCACAACGTAAGGCACCAAGAAACACTAAAATTGTCAAAGTCTTGGGTCAATAAGGAAGCTAATGGAGGAGAAAAAGAAGTGTAGGGGAAGGGTCTTGTATTTCTCACCCAAATAATCTGGTTTGCAATGAAAAAAATGACACAGAACTACAGATCCACAAAAAGATCCCTGAGAATTTTTAGATGACAGAAGTAAGCACACGTTTCTATTTTACCTGCTAGCACAATCTGATCACACACAGTTTTCCTTCTTTACCCACTGTCTGCACTGCAGGGTTATTGTGTCACTGGGTTTGATATTATTTGATATTATTATTCTCTTCCAGGCTGAACTTTCTTCCCCCTTTCTCCAGTTTTACCCCAGGTGCTGGAAATTATTTTTATCTTTATTTCCTTTGTTTTTTACCTGGCTGCTTACACATAAAGGAGGATCACCTCTAGCCTGAAACCAATACTATGTGAGATATTTAAGGATTTGAAAGGAACTTGCTTGAGGCTTGGAACATCAGCACCAATGGCTTGAAACAGCAAAAGGGACTGAGCCTTTGTCACAGATTTTTGCCTGAAGAGACGGGTGATAAACTAAGGTTGGTTTGGGGGTTTTTTTGGCAGAGGTATTGCCAGAATCAAAGTGTGGGGAAGAATTAATTTTGTTTGCTTTTCAGACAGATGAGGTTCCTGCTCATATTCTGTGCATTTATTTCAGCAGTCTGGTGGATGAAATGCCAGAATCCATAAGATTTATACCTACTTCA